CTCCCAGTTCTTTTACTAGTGTTCTATGCCTTTTCAAAGTGTGTGGGATTAATATGATTTTAAAATGTTCTCCAAATTTGTATCTGTAATTCTAAGCACTGATTTTTAAACTGAACAGTCAAAATCAGACATATATTTGTAATACGGTTTGTTTTTTCTCGGTTTTTGATTTCTTACTCTACCTCATTACCTTCAGAACAAAAGAATCCTCGTAGGTATCACGACTAGCAGGTTAACTGCAATATGAAGGAGCTTTTATACGTTGCCTCTTCAACACATTTTGTATAAAATACTTGGAAGTCATGGGAAGTATGCTGTTTTAAAACAAAATTCAAATAATCATATTTGGCCTTAATTTCAGATTTTAAATCATGTACTAATAATTATGCAGTAATATATATTTGCAATATAATGTACTACACTAATTTTAGGTTTGCCTCCAGTGGTTCATTGAAGAAAATGTTTGAAGTATGGAGACCTTAACAAAAACTCTTCTGTTTTCTTTTGTGAGGGAGTTCATTATCTTCTAGCATCTCTGTAGCAAATAAAGTCATGGAAAAGAGTGTTATTTTTTGCTTTCACATTTTATCTACAATTGTTTTGGAACTGCTGCTTTTAGAAAAAAAAAAATAATTGTGATGTCTATCTAAATTAACACATTACATATTAATTTCTTATGATATGAAAAGCTGCAGAAAACTGGTTTCTCCCCCTATTTTTTTTTTAATTATTTATTTTCAGGTAGTTCATTATAGCGTCTCACAAAGTTCTAGAATCCATTTCAGGCCTTCAGTCTCCCCTGCATGCCTAACAGCATTTTGGGCTACTTCACAGGATCTAGATTACGTAGAGTCTCTAGGAAGCCTCACATACAGACCTGAGTGCATAAGTTATCTTAATCACAGCTTCAGTGAAAGCAGCTATGTATTTCTGAATAGATAGTATTGGACGGTTGTTGAAAATCTTAAGATTTCCAGTATTTTTTTTTTCTTTCCTGAATGAAATGCAAACATCTCTTGTGGAAAAGCAGATACTTCAAATGTCACACATAAAATGTTTCCACCGAAAAAGAGGTTTCACCAGTTGATGGGGTCCATATTTCATGGACAATTCTTGGAATTCTAGCATAGGATTTACAGAGCAGGTTTTCCTACAGAAGCCATTATGTGGCAGTGACGACAAGGAGCTTTCATCTTTGGCACTTGGTAGAGTAAAGGAGGATGTATAGCTTTTACCAAAAAAATGACATAGATATATCATCACGATTTACTACACGTAATTATCTGTAGAGTCAGATGTATCTTGTTGCAATGTAATCCCTTTGTGTTGTTCTTGAAAGAATTTGATAGAAAAAAGTGTTATTTCCTGTGATGACAAACCAACTTCAGCTCCATTCACATAATCCTGAGTTGAGATTAGGCATTTAACTACTCGAATCAATAGACTGTGTCTGTAAACTTGCACCGTAGAGAATCAAAATGCGAGTGTAAGTTAGTGTTGGTGTGAATCCAAATTTCATCTGCAGATGTTCTGAAAGATTATATTTTCCCATGCTTTTCTTCTATTTGATGAATCTGTGTGTTTCTTCAAATCTGTAGCTACAGATATCATAGAGACCAGAAACTTTGGATTCAGTGTGGTGAAATTTAGGAAGTCATTAATACTACCCAATATGTAGTGTTTCCCATTGAAATTGTTTTATACCCAAAGCTGGGAAATAAAGTAGTATTGAAATGAAAAGCAATATAAAGACAATGGAAGAATCTAATTTCAGCAAATAATAGTATCAATGAAAGCGTGGAAGAAAAAAGATTATTAGGATAGAATAGAAGAAAATAGTAAAAGTCACAAATAAAACATTCATGACCTGGTCCTTAATGTAATTAATATAAATTAAGGCTATTTTGGGAGGTTAACAACAATCACCTATTTTGAACAAGCCTTGCATATCCTTGTCAGATACTGAAACTGTTTGCTTTGAAAGGAGAATTAATGACGGTGAAAACTACCCTTCACCTTCCCAACTGCATAAATTTTGTAAACTTGTGTACTGATACTATGCTAAAGTTTCTAATTTATGTATATGGTCTCCTAAAGTCATTCTTCCATAAATTCAGCTTCAGGACTGTCTTACTAAATCCCTTCATTCATGAACAGAAGTAACAGTGAGTATTTACCCCTCTCTCTCATAGCATTACTGGATAAAGAACAAAAATAAGTATCTAGGATATTTACATTGTGTCTTAGGCTTGCTCAATAAGTGTGCAGTATTACCTGGTGGCAGAAGTGTATAACAGTGGGAGGATTCAAATTCTGTGTATCACGAAGTTAATAAATAACTGAACTACTTGCTTGAGAACCAACAATAAAGCAATTTGTTCTTGTCAGCTAGAAGTGGTTAGATTATGAAAAATTGTCCTCTAAAGATCTAACTGATCCATGAATCTAGTTTGTGAACTGTACAGCATTCAGTGTGTTGTAGCACTGGGTATCTCATATTTTCTATATTAAGAGTAGTGAGATATGACCAATGTCAGTGTTAGTTTATGCATTATATAGGTAATATCTCCAGGCAGGGTAATGAACTACAAGATATGAATAGCCTAACAAAATATCTAATTCGTTTGGGGGGGTGGTGGGGGGTTATTTTAATTAACTTGTAAATGTATCATGGTTCTGAAACATAATTGTTTAATAGGTGATTTAAAAAATACTGTTTAGTCCAGTAGAAGTAGATAGCAATGCTATGCCAGCTTCGATCAACTTAAACAAATAAATAAAAATATAAGACAGGGGAAAATATAATTGTGATGATAAAGAATCATTGTGTTTAAGTAGATAAACAGAATTGTATGCGTAGAGGACTGTTAAAAATCCTATTCATTAAATGAGTTAGGGTAAACTTGAATGATGGGAAGGGGCTGGGGAAATAAACTGATATCTAGATGAAAGTCAATACAAGAGAAAGCCTAATAGAATTGTGTTTTATGAAAATGTTCCTTTTTAAAATGAAACCACTAAACAAAAAGCATATATACATAATATCCAGATAAATATGTCTGTATTGCTTTTCCTGGTCTCCTTTTTCCCAAACAAAAGCTTCCAGGGAAGAAATTGCAGGGGAACTGCTATAACATAACATAACATAACATAACATAACATAACATAACATAACATAAGGTATGGTGAAAGAAGTATTCTTTTCCCCTGTCTTCTGAAGTGAAACAACTTTTTTTTTTTAAATTAAACAGATTATCTTGTGATGAAAACACTTGTGCTAACATTTCCAGCTAGTACAACTCATAGTTGGATCCTCTGCAGTTTAAATGTTGCCTGCTAAAGAATCACATGGCTTTTTGAACAGATCAAATTATTTACAGAACAGTTATTTTGTACACAAGCATGTACAAAGTAAAGACATTCCAAAGAAAATTGAATCTTTTGCCTCTTCCAACTTACTTGAAGGCTTCCACAAGCATTACATGGTCTTTTCTTTACAACAATCAAGTGAATAAGCAATTAGCTTTGGTCCTTAATGACAAAACAAATTTCCTCCTGTGTCTGTAACACACTGAGGTCTGGCTTAGTTACCCAGATACTGATACAAAACCAACTGACCTGTGGATAGAACAGAGTCTTGATGGAAAAGTGGAAAAGTACATTTTGAGGGAAAGGGAAAGAGGATGAGTTCATGTTAATAGCATTTACCTCAAAATGGCATTTAGCTCATCTATAATATATTTCATGTTTGGATCTCAAAAAGGTCACAAAGGAGGATGAACAATGTCATTATTTATGAAGTGAGGAAAATGATGGTTTATAAAGATGAACTGCATTACCTTGTAGCACATGTCATGGTACTTTTTTAGTGCAAGTAATAATTGTCGTTGGCTTACCCACTTGAAAAATTATTACTGAAATAATTCTTTCTTTTTGGTATTTATAAAAGAAAAAGCTTTTTTTTGTGGTCAACTTTTTATTTAGGTACATAAAACCAAAGGTATTACCACAAACAGAACTGAAAATATAAATTAAGGTTATTTTTGGAGGTTAACAGCAATCATATAATTTAAACAAGCTGCTGGACATGAAGATACGTAACTTCTTCTCCTTTTCTTTATTTATTCAAAATCTGTAATGGGACTTAAAAAACTGCTATGTACATATATGTGTCTATTTCATACAGAAATGCACGTAACAATTGCTTGCTTTCATTCAAAAAAGTACAGGGCACGTGGCAGCAATTCTATTTAGTAGAAAGCTACTACAGTGAATCTAAATCTTTAAGGCTTTTAAATGGTTCAGAAATATTTCAAGATAAAACAAAAATGTATTCCATGGGAAATACCACAATTTTCAAAATGCTGTAGACGTTACACTGACTGAAGCTTCTGACTGATTTTGTAATGTAAACTAGTAATCTTCTCCTTCATTGCTTTGCTTGAATTACATGGTACAGCGTTTCCACAGAGCTGCCAGGATCCACTCTACGCTACAACAGCCAGACTTTCCTGTGATGTATTTTCCCAGATTTTATTTTCACTGTGGGAGGTGAATAAAACAATAAACGTGTGTGCAACAAATACTTAACCCACTTAGCAATGCCCATGCGTCATCGTATCTATTGCCTGTTAGATGTCATGGTGCATAAATCACCTAATTACATAGTGAGAGAGTCATATGTCTGAAAAAGAAACAGCTTACAGAAGTCTTTTATGAGCTCTGGATTTTGTCCAATGTTGTCTGTACTTTTCTAGCTGGCTTTCTGGGTAACTTATGTAGCTTACCAGGGAAGAAGCATTAAATGAATGAAGTTAAACACTAGCGTGGGAAATATTACATGCAACAGAGAGCAAGCAAAGGTCTGATTCTGTCATATTTCAAAGACAATACATAAAGAAATGCAGGTTTATTTTAAAATGTATTTTAGTACAAATTGTTGCTAGTAAACTTTATTCCCTACTTTCAAACTAACAGAATTACTTTTCTTTCTCTTACAGAATAATGATATAATCTATTACAATGCAAAAGATGATCAGAATGATGTAAGTAATATGTTTCTTTTTGTTTCATTGCCTGTAATCTCAAAAAATTAAGGGATTGAAAATATTAATGAAACTCTGAGACTAGCATTTAAATATTTTGCAGAAGCAAGAAACCAAGAAACTTAGAAATGTCTTCAAAAGTCTCCTCAAGAGCCAGATAATATTTTATGTTCTAATTCTTGAAGTCTGTCTTCCCTCATACAGTCTGAGTTACTGATCAGGCAGGGAATGTGCTGGGAGAAAAAAGATCCTGACAACAGTGTCATTCACTTTTTGAAATATAATAAAATCATAATTATAGGACTGAAGAATCAAAATTATAAATGTAAATAATTTACTTTACTCTGAAGGAACAAATTTCTGGCCTTATTTTCCAAGCTTATATTATCTTGTTCTGCATTCTTTGTAAGAAATTTTTTACGTGGGGGGAAAGCAGATGTAAAATGTTACTGAATAACTATTTTCATGCACTTTGTGATCACTCATATGACTGTAATAAGCTTTGGGGAAATTGAAAATCCAGTCCCAAGATTTAGACAAAATGTATCATATTTCAATTCCTGGCTCTACTAAAACTCTTACTTTAAGTGGTTTGAAGTTTCCTATTTTGCTTTAACTATTAAAAACCTTAATGTCTTCTGGGGAGAAGACAAGTTATCCTCACCTTCACTTGAGATAATACAACTGCTTGTCTTCATTATAGATTTAATTTATAAAACCATAGAAAAAATGTTGTAAATGTATAATCAGAATTGCCAGCATGCTTCATTTACACTTTTTAATCAAGTATTCTTTAGAGATTGATGGCATCACTATTGTAATTGATGCTTCTGCTGTAAGGCAATTAAAGAAGGCACATAGATCATGTCAAGCAGAACTGTTTGATATGCTTATATAGAGTTACGAGTACTGGAATTCAGATACAACAAAGTCTACTGTCCCGAGTTTTAAAATTTTCATGCTTTAAGTAAAATTCATTAAAGTAACCTAAATTCGAAAGATATTGGTCTTTTCTGATTAAACTCACTGGGATTGCACGTGCTAATCACTTGTGGAAACAGAATTACAAAGCTTAAACATTGGATTTTGCATCTAAGTGTACCATATAGTGATGGTAGATTATGGTGTGAAGTAAAAGACCCTGATGTATCTGTTATGATTTAATTCTATTGAGAAAGGTCTTGAGGTGACTACTTCAACAACATAAATCCAAATTGGTTAGGCAAGGCAGAAAAGGAAATGCTGCTCCAGAATTTACTCTCATTTTCTTTGACTTTCCTCAGGAACTTTTTTTCCCCCAGAAAAAAAAAAAAAATTATTCCACCAGGTGTCCTATTTGTATTTCTGTTTCAGTTTTATTTCTTTTTATGTCTTTCTGAACTCTCGGAATGAAGTTTATAATAACCCATATTGTTGAGTTAAAAATAGTTCCTTGTGAGTCAGGGGCAATCTGTCAAGAAACAAGTAACACTGCAACGTGGCATCAGCAACACAGAGTGCAGTACCAAAACTCAGCACCAGCCTAAATTATTATTTTGAAATGTTTTGAATCGCAATAAAAAATTTTAAGTCCTAGGAATTTCAGCTTAGTGGGCTGAAACGTTCTGCAGATCTGTGCTATATGGACTGTGTAAAATATAAAAATACAGCATTGAGGCTGTGGTTCTGTTTGAGTTGCCAGTATGTTTGTAGGGCTATATCTGTTGAAATAAGTCTTTTTCTTTCCTTCATAACAGTCCTCAAATCAAAAGGTTAAAGAGGGAGAAGGGAAAAAAAGGAGTTTTTTGTTTTGTTTTGCTTTTAATCTCTTTATTGACTTATAAGTTTAGAAAACAATGTGAAGGGAAAAGATACCAAGAAAGTACAGTATTTACAAACTCTGGTTGTTTGAGAGCATGTGCTCTCTGTCAATCATTTAAGGTTTTTTGGCTAGCTGATAAGAACAAATGTTTTGACTTAAGGAGATACCATTAAAAAGTTCCCCATGAGTTCTAATTACACCATGAAAAGAGGCCAGTCTCAGGTATCTCCGCCACTGATACCTCATTGGTTCAGCGTATCTGCTAAGAGCTGGATTTGTTCATCCCAGAGAAACATACTCAAATTCTGCTTCTTCACATCCAAAGAAGAGCAATGAAGCTGGTGAGGGGTCTGGAGCACAAGTCCTGTGAGGAGCAGCTGAGGGAACTGGGGTTGTTTAGCCTGGAGAAAAGGAGGCTGAGGGGAGACCTCATCGCTCTCTACAACTCCCTGAAAGGAGGTTGTAGCGAGGTGGGTGTTGGTCTCTTCTCCCAAGTAACAAGCGATAGGACGAGAGGAAATGGCCTCAAGATGCACCAGGGGAGGTTTAGATTGGACATGAGGAAAAATTTCTTCACCGAAAGGGTTGTCGAGCGTTGGAACAGGCTGCCCAGGGAAGTGGAGGAGGCATTTAAAAGTCGTGTAGATGTGATGCTTAGGGACAGGGTTTAGTGGTGGATTTGGCAGTGTCAGGTTCAGGGTTGGACTCGATGATCTTAGAGGTCTTTTCCAACCTAAATGGTTCTATGATTCTTGCTATTTAGAAAAGGTGAATATTTCATAATGATGCTAAACGTTATCCTCCTTCAGCTGCAATATCAGTATTAATTCTTAATAAACAAAATAAATCTTATTTATATTATAGAAAAAGAACAATTATTTTAGAGATGTAATTTATACATGCAGATTTGGATCCCTTTAAAAGGCCCAATATTTCAGGAACCACTAACATGCACCTCCTAAAAAAGTTTCTTCCATGTGTCTTGAGTTTTTCACTGTTAAATTTTTTATGCAAATATTTCTTAAAAAACTTAAAATGTAGGAATTCTTTTCCTTCATCAGTAAAGTTGAGGCTGATTAGCTAAATGCATATTAGGAATCCAAGAAAAATTTGTATTCTAATTGTAGCACTTTGTTGGGAATAGAAAGTTGCGGGTATGCTTACAGATGATTTGCATCTCATTAAGGTGGTAAGAATCAGTTAAATACTTCTTGATAAAACACATTGAGCGTGCAAATAGCTGTATTTGTGCCTGTGCTGTCGTTGTGATCAGTAATCTAATTTGAAGGAAGAAACAATAAGGATAAGATGGTCAGTGATCTGATACTGAACTTTTTTGAGAAAACCTGCATCCAGGTCTCAACTGTGTATGCAAACACCACAGCCTCTTCTCCTCTGTTCCTGCCTGAAAAAATGCTTGAGGGGACTTAGGTGGCATCTTTTTTTTACATGGAGAGATTTGAATAGATTCATCGTGGAAGCACTGGCTAGTAAAACTGCTTTTGCCATCCATTCTTTGCTGTCTCTAACAAGTTCATATTTTTTTCTCTTCCATGCTGTGAGCATTTAATCACAGGTCATGATATTATATTTCTCTTTCAGTACAAGTAGGAATAACTAGTAGCAGAAATTTACTTATTAAAATTAGATATCTAAGCTAGTCACTGTGGATACCTCTAGAGAGCTGTTCAGTTTAGTCTGAGATAGGTGTCTAAGGTCACCTGCATCACTCCTAGATGTGTTTCTCTCTGTTGACCGGGTTCCCATAACGAACCCTTTTAGATCTTAACTTTTAGATGTTGAAGAATTAGAAGAAATTAATTTCACAGGTCCTGCCTGCCAGTTTTTATTTGTCTCTGCTCATCCTTTTAAAATTATAGCTTTATCAGAAGAACAATCCTCTAACTTAAATTCTGTGTATTTTTTCTGGTGTATGTTAATATGCTGTAGTATAGTTTCCTTTCCTTCTTCTTGTTTATGTACCACATTCAGGAGAGCCTTCTCCCTTATTTTTCATCTGCTGTCTTGATGTGCCTTTTTGAATCTAATGACTGTGTTTGCTTGGACTTAAAAAAAAAAAACAAAACACGTGAAGGCCAATCATTCTTTGGCCTTTGGATTTCTCACTCTCTCAGATAAAACAATCAATTTGCAACCCCTTAGTCCATCAGTCAGTAATATACCTTTTGTACTCTTTATCCTACAGCAGCAATTAGATTCTACTTGCTTATTTCCCCCACAGCACTGTATGTAATGTGTAAGCTGTTCATGATAATTAATGAGTTTTATCCTCACAACAAGGTAGGAGGTATTATATTCCCATTTTTCATATCTCATAGAAAGATAATGGCCAAGCTTGTAATTTAATACAGGTCTCTCAGGTTTTCATTCACTGTCCTATTCCCTAGAACCCTTTCAGTTTGATATATTGCAGTCTGTGTCATGCACTTTAATTTGCCGATGTCAACTGCTTTTGTCGTATTTGGACAAATGCTGCAGTGCTTTTATTGGACAACTGAGTGGTACCATATTAAGATGCCCTTTCCCATAAGTTTTAATATTGCTTTGCCTTTTTTCTCTTCTTGTCCTTTGTGCCCCACCCTATTTATAGTCGTCTTTGCTTCACTGTTCAGTTCTTTCCTCTTTTGTACTGGTCTCCATTTTATTTCTAATGATTCCACATCTTCTTTATAGATTCTTTCTAAATCTGATTTTTCTGTTTCCATGTGTTCAGGTAATCCACCTCTCCACTATGCACTGAATTGCTCGATTGCTTAATTTTCATTCTTCCTTGATTTCTTCCTTAATGTTTCTCTCATCTCCTCTTTGCATCTTGCTCCTTTTCTACCTTTTTTTAGTGAAATTTCTTGTCATGGTTTTATAAACTCCTTCCTGCACAAGCTACAACAGCCTAAGGAAAAGAAGATTGAAATTTTTCAGTGATTTAACTGAAAGGACTAAGTATTACAAATAAATAAACAAATGTTTCTTTAACATGAAGCCAGCCACACCTCAATGGGAGTTTGCAGCTCCTCTGTAGGTCTTACTCATTAGGCTTTCATTGGGAGCAGCCAGTTGCATCTCCTGGCAGGGGTTGTATCCCTAGTTAGCACAGGTGATTTATTAGAGATTTCCTTCATGCAGTCCCGTGTTGGATTGCAGTCATGACTAACAGAGCAGTACTTCTTGTGCAGTTATT